CTGCCTTACATTCAAGCTTTTGAACGGCAGCTTCGGTAATTACGATAAAACCTGTCCCCCCCCCCCCTTCAACCTTCTCGTAAACTAACCACTTGAATTTTTATACAATGACCGGAAGCACTTCGTCGAACAAATAAGACAACTCTTATAAACATAGTTTTACAATCATCTCTCACAGAGTTTCAGTGTGGGTTAGTGCCGATGCATTGGCCTACTACATACATAATTATGAAGTGGAATGGCAACGAATCCTGCGAAGTTCACGCCTATTGAATCGCCCACGGAAGCCACTGATAGCGAGTACTCCCGAACGTCTGGTGAGACCTAAACGATCATGCAAATCGAGAAAATCGTGCAGAACTTGATACAAAATTCATAAACCATTGCGAAAACCATCTACATAATTATCGAAGGCGAATTCAAGAAAGGAAATGAATGAGACAATTGTCTCACCATTTTATGTATTTTGTTGAAAGTGTTCACGTAAGCAGCTCCTCCCAGCAGTCCTTCGAAAATGATAAGGCAGAAGATGATGGCGATACTCGGTGTGAACCAGTAAATGGCTTCGAAGAAGAAGAAGGTAAAATTCGTAGCCTGGAAAGAAAATAGTAAGCCATCTGAAACTGAAGCGAAATGGTAACCTTTTTAGTAAAAAGCTGAGTAGAAAGCAAAATAGACATATTCACCTGCAGTACAGGTAGAAGGAAAAGTGACCAAGTTGGCAGTTCGAAGAGCTTCACTGACGACCTTGAGAGAAACACTCCCAATTGGTAGAGTACCTGAAAAGAGGGGATGCCTTTGAAATGCATTCAATTGTTTGTTCATTTCTCTACAGTAGCATGATTGGTACTACAGTTGTTTTAGAGAAATATACGATCGAGCCTTTCAGCACGAGGTTGTTGGGTGAAGCCTTTACTTCGGCCAACATATCAGGTGTCCTGCCATAGCAATGAGCCTACTACAGCTTCTCACTTTTGGATTCCTTAGAAAACATCGGCACCTAAGGAGAGTGTTCGAGGGTCAACGGCTCGCAAGTGCCACTCCTCATTGCGAACCAATCTCAAAGGCTCTCCCATAGGTGGCAAAGAGCCCGGACGACAGACGAGTCTCCTCTACCATCGCCCTGCCACAAGGGAAAGTTGTAGATATGACTGCTGCTGGATTTATCCGTTGGCCTTCTCATTTTCGTGGGATGCATTAGGCCCTCATAATGGGATGCATTAGGCCCTCATAAACAAAAAGTCTAATTGCCGAATAATACGGTCGAGTGGAGCAAGATACTGTGATAGGCGAAGATAACTTTTCTTAAAGACAATTCCAGCGCTCAAGTGATCAGCGAATTGCCTCCGTGCATTTGGCGCCGTTGTCCGCACTCGCAAAGAATATACCACTTTCGTCACTCGAAATGGCGAGATAACGAAGCTAGAGACGCGTGAGTTTTGCAATCGGTGCAACCGCGTA